TATGGCGAATATTTTAATTTGTCCGCGCTTCGGGGGCAGAGCGCGCTGGAAGGCAGCTGGAGGAGCTGCGAGCGTGGGTCTCGCTCCGCCCCAGCACCGTCGAGGCAGGGGAGCGAGTCTCGACCAACAAACAGCGGCGCGTGTTGTTAAACGGACCAGCAAGCGCCAGGAGAAGCAGTTGAGCAGACTGGCGTGGGAGTTGTCGGTGCGCTGAGTGCGCTACGTTGAGTGAGAATCGTTCGGCGGACCGTGATTTCGTGCACTGATTTGTGCCCTGTCAGGGCTTTGGGGACTGATCGACGTTTCTCGAACATCAATTGCTGTACGACTACCTAGGAATTGGAATTGGTTTACTCTTCTGGCGCTTCGACCCTTAGCATAATTCTGTTACAAGCGTGACTTTTGAAAACCATTGCCTCAAATTACAGAATAAACGATTGTATTGCTACGACTTTGTTCCTTATTTTGAATACAATTTAGAGGGCAAAATTTCCGTCCGTCCGTCCGCGGTAAAGGCTAGCCTCAAAACCGTTCAGCCGATTTTCTCCAAAATAAATATTCCGTGATCAATTTAAAGGAACCCAAGGCCTTCTGAGTTTGAAACGGATATTTTTATTTCGGGGACTTTACATAAAGTCTTAACGTTTTCAGAATAGAAAAGAGATCCCAGCGGGGGACAAAGGGCCCCCTCTTGTTGTAAACTTCGCATGCCTATGCATGACCCTCTTTAAGTGTTTCCAAACAACAAACACTTCTGCGCGCTGGGATTTGAACACCGGTTCTTAAAGTCAGCATGCTATTTACGGTTCCTCTATACTATACTGCGATTTTCGCAACTCTGCCCCTCGCAGGTAACAGCTGTTGACAGTTTCGTCCAATCGGGAGCTTGAACGTTCCATAGTGACGTCACAATGGTGACTTTCAAGCTCCCGATTGGATGAAACCGTCAACAACAACCAGTGGCAGAGTTGTATAAATCTCAATATACCAGCTCATAGATTATTGTCCGATGTAAATGAAGTGTCTCCTGAAAGTCATGAGCTGGAAGAAGGCGGAGGACACTGCCATTCAATTGGGAGCTTCGTTACGTCTTAACCTTTGGTATTGAAATTCCCGATTGGGTGAGTGTCCTCCTCTCCTTCCAACACGTGACTTTCATGAAACATTAAATTTAAATAGGACAATAATATAACGTTCACGACGCTGTTAACTCGTGGTGCTACAACTGCACGAATTTTCTGCCACAGTAACGGTTACGTAAAATTATGATACCGTAACTTCTGTCCACATTAGCACATTTCAGCCATTACTTGTAAAACTCGCAACGAATTAAGCTAGAAAAATTAATTTATTTTAACGTAATACATCAACTTAAATTCGGCTATGCAAAACTCCGTCCCATAACCCTCTAACACCACTAAACAATGAGAAGTTATTCTGAAAATTTCAAACTGCCGTGTCTTGGCGTTCCAATGTCGCATTGTCACGTGACAACTCCTGAGATAGTTTAGCAAAAGAAGTGCGGGAAATTCGAATCTGCAAATTCGAAAATAAAAATAAAAACGCGAATACTTTCTTTTAAAATTTGTACAGAACTTTTTAAAGTACTGATTTTTTAGAAAATATTCCATTTATCAAAAAAATCTATCTAACCAAAATTGTACTTTTCAATGTTATTTTTTGTTGTTGTTGGCAATGTCCGAAATTACAGAGGATTCGACACAAATAGGACGAGCACCATTTCTTCACAGTTTTTTGCTACATAAGAAGAAAACAAATTAAGAGCCAAAATTAAGAAAAATTTGGAACCCTTTTTGAGAAAATAATAGTGTTAAAAAATTTGCCACTTTTGTCACAAAACGATGAAAAAACTATTTAAATTTTCGAAAAGTTGAACATGACCTTATTTGAAGATATGTTTTTGGTGAATAGATTTCTATAAGAAAAAAGGTTCTATCTTCATTACTGCAGTGGTAGGAAGACGGTGAAAAAATTAAACTTTCGCAATTTTCGAAAAATCAGGGATTTAAACGAAAATGATAACCAACCCGGCTGACCCATATTGTAGATTTACTGTATGTAAAAAAGCCTCAAGCCTAAAAGAAGCCTCTGAGCTAAATTCAAAATCGCCTCTTTCTCGTCCCTCTTCCTCAGATGGATGGTGAGAGGAGCGTAGCGAAATTTCCGCGGTCAGCCGGAAGTGCGCGCTTGATGGCCCGAGTCTCACTCGTAAAATAAGGCATTAACTAACTAACATTTGCATTTGAAATTTCCAAAGATTCGGCAAATTGCCATTTACATTATTCCACGATCTAGTTTTAACGAACATACTTCATTAAGGAAAAAATCTCTATCACTAATATCGTACGTTATTCCTTTGTTCGTTCCTTCGCAACGTTATTTCTTTGTTTGCAATTTAAAAAAATAGTGTCCTGCGTCATTTTTAAGCATTCTTTGCGCAATACGAGGAGACAGATTAATAACAATTTGGAGCAATTTGGAACTTGAGAAAATTTAGAAAATGTGTATGGCTTCCTGTAAAGTACCCCAACATGAAAATACCCTTTAAAAAATAATAAATTCTCAAGTTCGTCCAGATCGATCCGAAAATATCATGACATTTATCACAGGCTTCAGTGACCACACTGCCCAGTTTCTAACACTTGAAACAGTCCTGCATTACAAAATAAACAACTTACCAAAAAACCGTAAATGTTCCCAAGGACACATAAAACAATCCTATAACTTTCTCAAATTAGAAAATCGAGATGAAATATATAAGGCAACCAATACAAATTATAAGTTTAACTCATAAATATATTCACACATTTCAATGCCACTTCCCAACAAAAACTCAAAAAGGTTCAAAACAAGAAAACCAAACCATGGATTACCAACGTCATTAGAAAGAAAACTATGTACGTACAAAATACTAACACATTATACACGTACCTGTATTCACATTCTACACATTTACGGTAAAACCTGTCCAAGACGGAACCTCTGTAAGACGTAAACCTGTCATCACAGACAAAAATCTCAGAACGGAATGATTTTATACGTAAAAATGACCTCTATAACTGGAAACCTGTCTAAGCGGAAACGGAATGTTTTTTAGAGAACGTAAGTAGATAATTACCTGCCTAAGATGGAAATTTATTTTTACATTTCCAGCACTATCTTTGGAATGGTAAGATGCTAAAGGTCACATGATGGGAGTTATCAGATTGCATTCAACAATGGGAACGCCGCGACACGACAGTTTGTAATTCTCAAAATAACTTAGGGTCGTGGGCGGTTTTTTCTAGGAAAAGGAACGGTGTTTGGATTGTCAAATTAGTGTGGAGATAGTAGCTTAAGTTTTCACGCCTAATGCTTAATTGGAAATTAGGTTTACAAGGGATGGATATTAGGTTTACAAGTGATGGCTGAAATGTGCTAATATGGACAGAAATTGCGGTTTCATAATTTTCCATAACCGTTAGTGAGGTGAAAGTCCGTTCTGATTAGCACCACTAGTTTTTACATGAAACCACACCCTCTGAAATTTTATAAATCATTAGACAAATGGATTCTCATCATCTGGACAACTTCATGACTGGGAGAGATGACTCAGGGCATCAATTGATGTCACTGCAGTCCCTTTGACATGTAGGTCCTAGGTTCGAATCCCGACGCGGCGGCAGCAGGATTTTCGACACTAACTTGAATTCTGTTGCTGTCAGGAGAATTCTAGCGGCCGGCTGATCTGATCGGTAGTTTTCCGTGGTTTCTTCGATCAACACTCGGCGAATGTCGGAGCGTTACCCTAACAAACGGTCCACGGACCGCGCGCGATCTCTTCTACATCTTCCTTGTATCCTCACCCCTTACACACACACACATTTACACTAACATGCACTACACTACCACACACCCCTGTAGTCGGGAGGTTAGAGATTGTCCCGGCTGGAGTGGTACCCCGCTGGTGGGTGATACCTCATTGGGGAAACCCCGTTAGCCGACGGTAGGTCGGCTTCCAGCGGGGGAAGACCACCACCACCTCCCGAGCAAAAACAAGCACTAAACTTACGGGGCTAATGACTATAGTAGTTGAAATGACTATCAATCAATAAATACAACTTGATGGCAATTGATGCTATGGCGATAGGAGAAAAATTAAGCAAAATAATAAAGAAAAGGCAAAAATAGGTATCAGAAGTTAAAATACACAAAAAAAGACAAAATGAGAATATACTATAACTTCCCTAGAAGTACAATTAAGTGATTCCTATAGTTGAAAGTAATAAAATAGTAACAATAACAAAAAGGCATTTTGCCAAACTTACAGGCTCTACTCAAAATAAACAGCAGCAAGACAGACTAAATTGTAGGTATGATTGACTATGACACTTTCATGTTTATTATTGTATTCGATTTGAAGGTACGGTACCATTCTTTCTTAAGAATTTTCCATTAAAATCAGCATGTATTAAAATCCATGGAAAAGACTGACATTTCACTTAAATCTTGTCACTTAAGTCTTCTAACTTGTTTTTAGATGAAAACTAGCAGATATATTCAGTTAAGCAAATTGAAGGGGTCAGGAAATAATTTGTCTATTTATGTTTGGAATGACTCTTTTATTATTTTAATCAGAAATATTTGTTTTCAAACTAATATCATCTAACTATCATTCAACACTCCTATTTTCCTATGTTAACTGTTATTTTTATTAAATTCAATAATAATTTCACATCATTCGCCAGTTTATAAAATCACAAAATGATATAGAAGAGAATGATCATAAATGTATTAAGTAAAAATACAAGTTCACTCAATATAGTTTACTCAAAATAGTTTACTCAAAAGTAGATACAAATTCGTTGATTGTTCTGCATTAGAAAAAACATTAAGTAACACTTTACAAATGCAAGTACATGCTTAATTATTTTATTTACTCTCTAAAGAATGTAGTATTGTTGTTAGGAATATATAGTCAAAGTTACCTTTCCAAGTACATCTTCCTCAGAACTACTTTTTTCTATAATCATAGATGTCCCTATTGTCACAGATGCTATTTCAGAATCAGGTACATATTCATAGGCTGCAAATTAAATAAAGTTCTTTGTAACATACTGTTTCACATTTATACCTTTTTTTTAAAATAATTAAATAATGCTATAATAATTCCTTATTAAATAATTACATACCTTCTACAACAAGAGATGCAGAACACACAGCTTCACCCACTGGATTGACAGCATAACAAGTATATTCTCCTGCATCTTCTGGGAAAACTTCTTGAATACTTAATTTACAAACACCTTCACTATCTTGTGATATTGTAACATCCTTTGCTTCTTTAAGAGGTTTATTTTTATGAAGCCAAGTAATATGTGGAGTTGGTTTTCCTGCAACCTATAATACTCATAATTATTTCTATCTGTCTAAAGTCTTGCGAAATATGAAAAAAAGTAACATGATTAATAATAAACATGACTTATATTTCATATATTACTTCACCTGGCAAGTCAGATTCACTTCTTGTCCATCCATAATTCGTATAGAAGCAAGTTTCTTCACAAAACGAGGCGATTCAAGTTCTGTGACTTCTTCATAAGCAGGTTCAGGCAGCACATTAACTGTAGCTGAATATGTAACAGAGCCACCTACATTCTCAGCTCTGCAAGTGTATGTACCACTATGATGTGGTGTAGCTTTATCAATTAACAAAATTGAACGATTCCCTGTTGACACTACACGTAATTCAGGAGATGACTGAAAGAAAAAAAACATTGTGTGTATAACAATAAGTCCAAAAAAATGAATAAATGAAAAAAATGTATATTCTGAATATAATATACAATTTTGACAGATTAGTGGGCACATGTACCTTAACAGGAAAAGAATGTTGAAACCACTGAAAAGAGCAAATGGGATGTGACTCTACAAGTGTCTCCAGAATGACGACTTCTCCTTCAGCTATAATTTGAGGTTTAATAGGCTTCACAAACCGTGGGGGTTTCACTTCTTTCATTTCAGGTTGTGGTTCTATAAAAGTGTAAAATAGAGTTACTATTTGTTTTTAAGAAATCAGGAAGATGGTACTATGCAATATACTCTCAATATTACCTGTTACTGAAATAGTGCCAGAACTACGAGCATCTCCTGCACAATTGACCACTTGTATTTCGTATTTTCCACTATTAGTTTTCTGAGCTTCAGTTATATGAAGATTTGTTTTATATCCAACTGTTGTCATTTTAATATGTTTTGTTAATTTTATTTCTTTGCCATTGTGATACCATTTAACATCAGGTACAGGAATACCTTCAAATTCAGATTCCAAAGTTATTGGCTCACCAGTGTATACCACTTTTGCTTCCAATGGTTTTGTAATTTTTGGAGCTTGAAGAACTGTAGGCTTGCTTATTTTGGTTTCTTCACCTAAAATAAATTTGGTGTCAATATTTTTCTTCCCAACACTCCTTGACAATGACATGTGCAAAGACTAATACAAAAACTTACCAAAAATAAGATCTATACGGCATTCTGCAGAGCCAAATGCATTACTTGCTTGAATACTATAAAAACAGAAGTCTTCTGATGTGGGTTTCAAGATCTTCAGAGTTGCAATACCCAACTCAGAATTGTATGAAACTTCCTTTCCTTTCTTTGGTATAATTTCCTGATTTTTGGCAAACCATTTCAAAACAGGAACAGGTGTTCCAACAACAACGCATTCTAATACTAATGGTTGTTCAAGACTTATTTTCGGTGCTTGCAGAGGCTGAATAAAGTGTGGTGCAATACCAGTTTCTTCTTCTTCTATAACAAATTAGAAGAAGAATTAGAATGTAATATATGCATTGCAAACAAAATAATTCTATATGATTACTTTTCTGGACCATTGTATATCTATATGTATTAGCACCTTTTCAAAAAAAATTCTAAAAAAAAAAATGATATTAAAATTATTTTTGATTGAAAGCTCAGAAAGTTTTCTTAATATTCCAATTATTTATATAATACCATTATTATAATATGTAAGATTATAATAATATGTGAATTTATATATTTCAATCATTAATACAGTTAAAAATAATTTTGAAGAGGTGTTTATAGCAAAAATATTGGCTGAATTATATAACAGGTTTATTAAAGGGTTCAATGTAAAAAATGAGAGATATCAAAAGGATGCTTATTTCACTAATTATTATCTCTTTTCAGTGCTACATATTTCAAATAAACAAGTGTACTTTATTCACAAATTAATACCAATTTTCATTAATAGTCTGTTTGAAGAAAACACACAAAAGAAGATTATGCTCTTTAATAGAGAACTGTGTTATGAGAACATGCACAAAGGGAAATTACATTTTTCCTCCATGAAAAAAAATAGTTAATCACACAAAACACACCAAAATAATCTAGTAAGAAATGTATCTGAAATGAAAAATGAAACCAAAGTAAAACATGCGGTAGATTGGAATTAATACAGCATTTCTTGATGGGCTAGTTATAACAGAAAACAAACATTAGTTTTGTTTTAAAAACTCAAACAGTTTTAAAAACAAAGAAACAAAAAAGAGATTCAAAACTATACCACTCAACAAACACATTTATGAGAAATGTAAAATCATCCTCACATACCTAAAAGTATTAAATTAGTAGTGGAGGTTGCTACTCCTGCAATGTTTTTGGCTTGGCAGGAATACAGACCAACATCTTCTTCCTGAATATTATCAATTTCTAAAGAAGCTGTAGTCTCATAAATATTTTTCTTTATTCTCTTTGTACAAACAATTTCCTTCTTATTACGAAACCACTTGATATTGGGGAATGGTGTACCATCAACTTTACAAGTAAATATAGCTTTTTCATTAACTTTCACAATATTAGGTTCCAAATGTTTAATAAAATGAGGAGGTAAAGCATTAGGCAAACTCAATGAAACATCTTCCTTCCCTAATGAAGGGATAATCAACTGGTCTTCAATTGTCTCAGTACCAACAAGTAGAGATTCTTCTGAAAATTTAACATCATCTTGCACACCACGTTTCTGGGATATTATTTCAAGATCAGTCAGTGGATGACCCTCCTTTTCTTGAATAGAAATTTTCTGGCGTACACTCTTTCTCTTCAAAGATACAGCTTCCACTTTCAGTTCTTGTTGCCATTCTGAACCTGGAATGTCTTTAAAGGGTGTCTCATCCTCCTTCGTTATTGGTGTCAAACGTGCAGGTATATCATTCTTGTCAGAAGATTTAAATACAATGAGTGACTCAGTTTTTAACTCCTCCACATTGTCTGTAGCAATATTTTCAACAAGTGTGGGCACTAATTCTTCTGAGGATACTGCCTGCTCAGGAGTCACAGGTTTCAAAAGGCCAACATCATCAGAGGTATCAATTGTAGATTTTGTTTTTCTACGTCGCCAAGGTAACTCTATTTTCTGGGTGATTCTTTCCTCTTCTTGTTTATCCACAACACGTTCATGTTTAGTTTCCAGTACGACTTTTTCTTGTTCTTCTTGTGGAAAGACATTCTTCTCTGCAGGTTTCAATTTAACAAATTCTTCCTGGTCAGCAGGTACGTCTACACTTTCTGATGGTACAGGCTTCAAACGCACCTCGTCAGTTTCACAAGGTATTTCTTTTGTTGGCTTCTCAGAAATCTTTCTAGATGGTTTAACATCTTTCGGTATTTTCTTACCCGGCTTTCTGACTTTTTCATCGGATTTCAGCTCCTCAGAAGTGTCAGGTTTTCCTTCAAATTTTAGATCAATCGTTTTGTCCTCATGGAATGGCTTTAATGAAACTTCCTCTTTCGGCATTTCTTCTTTCGGAAGTCGTTTAACAGGTTTCAGAATAACACCCGGTTTCTCCTCTTCTTCCTGTGGTCTACGAGCACCAGGCTTCAATTGAATCTGTTCGGCTTCTTGTTCAGGTTCTTTGGGCTTCTTACCTCTACGCCATGGTACATGACTAATACGTTCCTCTTCGTCCTTTACAGGTTCATCCTTTACTACACCCGGAACTGGCACGGGTTGTGCCTCAGGTGCGTCTTCAGGAACACGTGTATCAGTCGGGGCTTTGGGTTTCTCAGTCGGAGCCTTTGGTTTTCTGCGCCGCCAAGGTAACTCTGTCTTTTGTGTCACCTCGTCCTCTTCTTGTTCTTCCACAACACGTTCACCTTCTGGTTTAGAATCTTTCTTGTCTAAGGGTTTGGGAACAGTTTTTGCTTTCTCTTCTGAATCTGGTTTTATCTCCTTTTCTAGTGGTTTCAATATAACCGTTTCTGGTTTTTCTCCAGGCTTATCTACCGTTTCTGCTGGTACTGGTTTCAAATGAACCTCCTCAATTTCACGGATGACTTCTTCCTTTGTAGGTTTTTGTAATACCGACTTGCGGCTTTCATCGTCTTTAGGCTTTTTCGTTTTTGGCTTTTTAATTTTTTCTACGCTATCTTCGTGAATTTTGTGCTGTAATTCTGTGTCTGCTGTTTCGTCTGTTGTGTCATCTATTGGTCTGTCCTTTTGGAATGGTTTCAATATTACTTCTTCTTTCGGCACTTCATCTTTGGGAAGACGTTTTACAGGTTTCAGAACGACTTCGGGCTTTTCTTCTTCTTCTTTTGGTCTGCGAGCACCAGGTTTCAATTGAATCTCTTCGGTTTGCTGTTCAGGTTTCTTGGGCTTCTTTCCTCTAAGCCACGGTACACGACTAATGTGTTCCTCTTCGTCCTCCTTTACAGGTTCATCCTTTACTACCTCAGGAACTGGCACGGGTTGTATCTCAGGTGCGTCTTCAGGAACAGGTGTATCAGTCGGGGCTTTGGGTTTCTCTGTCGGAGCCTTTGGTTTTCTGCGCCGCCAAGGTAACTCTGTCTTTTGTGTCACCTCTTCCTCTTCTTGTTCTTCCACAACACGTTCAGCTTCTGGCTTAGAATCTTTCTTGTCTAAGGGTTTGAGAACAGTTTTTGCTATCTCTTCTGAATCTGGTTTTATCTCCTTTTCTAGTGCTTTTAGTATAACCGTTTCTGGTTTTTCTTCAGGCTTATCTACAGTTTCTGCTGGTACAGGTTTCAAACGAACCTTCTCAATTTCACCGCTGACTTCTTCCTTTGTAGGCTTCTGTAATATCGACTTGGGGCTTTCAGCGTCTTTAGGCTTTTTAGTTTTAGGCTTTTTAATTGTTTCTACGCTATCTTCGTGAATTTTGTGCTGTAATTCTGTGTCTGCTGTTTCGTCTGTTGTGTCATCT